TTCTTTAATATACGAGAGAGGTTGTTAGCTGTTAGCCTCGTGACTCAGGAGTCACTACCTGGTTCTCCATTTAGTCGCCCCCTACGACAAGGTAGCACCACGTCAGTCCTATTCTTTTCAATGCCGGGACTGCACGGGCGGGACTTTTAGAAAAACCCTGCTTAATTCTCTTCTCCGCCCAGCCCTCTACATTTGCATTGGTTCAGAGTTCTTACTTTTGCTGACCCACTTCTGGTGGGCGGACCCTGGGGCTCTAAATTTACTTAACACTAAGAACCCCTTCAGCTGGTTCACAAATAAGTCGGTTATTTTAGAGTCGTAACAAAAATCTGCCACACCTTAGCAAATTTGTTGGATCTTTACTTATAAAATCTATTCAAACTGTACTCTCTTAAAAAAATTCGTGAATGGATTATTCATCTCTACTCAGTTAGGTTCCTTTAAAATGTGAGTACGTTGTATAGGGGTAGAGTCTCAGGGAAGTCCGTTTGGTGAAAACGTAAATGTGAGGCATCGTGGTGGAATCAGGCTCTCGTCAAAATAATCAAAGTGAAGAAACTTGTATTTTTCCGCAGGTTTGTGAATTTTTATCAAATTTTTGTTTTTTGGCTCAACACCTTTCATGCCCTTTAAAGAACTCATTTCCATGAGGATTTTTCTTAAAAACGTTGATTAAAGGCACAAAAAATGTAAATTTTCAGTTACCACGGACTCTTAAGCTAAGGAAGTAACTAATCTTTGGCGATCATTTTCTGACTCTGAAAACAAATGACCGTCACCTCCTTCTTTGGCAAATATCTCGACTTGTATTCAAGATAAATGGATATTTTTTTCATCGAAATAAAGACAAGTGAACAAGCTTTAAGATAATACTAATAACTCTACATGCCCAAAAATTGACGAGAGCCTGATTCCACCACGCTGCCTCACAAATGACAAAAGAGGCTATGTGTTAAACAGAACTCGTTTTCCGTATACGCAAAAGTCAATGCAAAAGTGCAAAGCAGGAAATTGGTCCAAATCGACTTCCCGATCAGATTGAGATACGACATTTGGCATGAGGTACTCGTACATAAACCGCTTTTCTACTACATGTACTTTACAAAACTGTCAAGTATCATTATCAAGACAAGAACAAAGATCGGGTGGCTGGAAAGCGCCAAGTGCAGGTCCCAGCCTACTTCTTTTTAGTTTAGTTTAGTAGGGGTTTTTCGGCACTCGCAACTGCATCAGGTCATATGAGCGCCAGAAGATTAGAGCTGTTACAAGAGAGTAACAAACATAAAAAGAAGGGGAAATAAGATGTTTGATAGGAAAGAAGAAGTACACTTATTGGTGGGTCAAGAATATGTAACAATGAAGGGAAGATAAGGACGACAGATGTTTGATAGGAAAGAAGAAGCAAACCACACCAGAGCACCCGCCAACCACCCACAGCCTACTTCTTTATTTTGCCATTGTTGTTTCTGTCTCTCTCTCTTACTTTTCCCACGCACTAAATGACCAGGGGGGCTCTCGTGGCCTAGAGGTTGAGGTGTTGGCCTCTCATTCAAAAGGTCCCGGGTTCGAATCCGGGTAGCGACAGAAA